CGCGTGTAAAAGACAGCGAAGAAATGCTTACAAAAGGAAAGGAAAAGGATAAGCCTTCACACGAAAGGCAATGAAATCCCTTACGAAATGGTAAGGTGAGAAGATATCTCAAAATGTACTTACAAAATGTAAGTGAAAGGGTAATAGCCACTCTCATGCAAGGGAAGAGGGAACTTGTAGAGGGTATCAAAATATCATATGACGTCACAGGCAAAACGGCGGAGATGACATTCTTTAAGAACAACGATCATTCAGTTCTTGGCCACATAGGCATCAAGCGTCCAAATTGATCGAAGATACCCAACACAAAGTTTTATCGCATGTAAAAGACAGCGAAGAAATACTTACAAAAGGAAAGGAAAAGGATAAGCCTTCACACGAAAGGTAGTGAAATCCCTTACGAAAGGTAAGGTGAGAAGATATCTCAAAATGTACTTACAAAAGTTAAGTGAATGGATAATAGCCACTCTCATGCAAAGACAGAGGGAACTTGTAGAGGGTATCAGAACATCATTTGACCTCACAGGCACAACAGCAGAGATGACATTCTTTAAGTACGGCGACTATTCAGTTCTTGGCCACATAAGCATCAAGTGCCAAATTGATCAAAGATACCCAACACAATGTTTTGTTGCGTGTAAAAAACAGCGAAGAAATGCTTACAAAAGGAAAGCAAAAGGATAAGCCTTCACACTAAAGGCAGTGAAATCCCTTACGAAATGTAAGGTGAGAAGATATCTCAAAATGTACTTACAAAAGGTAAGTGAATGGGTAATAGCCACTCTCATGCAAAGGCAGAGGGAACTTGTAAAGGGTATCAGAACATCATTTGACCAAACAGGCACAACGACGGAGATGACATTCTTTAAGTACAACGACCATTCAGTTCTTGGCCACATAGGCATCAAGCATCCAAATTGAATGAAGATACCCAACACAAAGTTTTGTCTCGTGTAAAAGACAGCGAAGAAATGCTTACAAAAGGAAAGGAAAAGGATAAGCCTTCACACGAAAGGCAGTGAAATCCCTTACGAAAGGTAAGGTGAGAAGATATCTCAAAATGTACTTACAAAAGGTAAGTGAATCGGTAATAGCCACTCTCATGCAAAGGCAGAGGGGATTTGTAAAGGGTGTCAGAACATCATTTGACCTTACAGGTACAATGGCGAAGATGACATTCTTTTACTACAACGACCATTCAGTTCTTGGCCACATAGGCATCAAGCGTCCAAATCGATCGAAGATACCCAACACAAAGTTTTGTTGCGTGTAAAAAATAGCGAAGAAATTCCTACAAAAGGAAAGAAAAAGGATAAGAATTCACGCGAAAGGCAATGAAATCCCTTTCGAAAAGGTAAGGTGAGAATATATCTCAAAATGTACATACAAAAGGTAAGTAAATGGGTAATAGCCACTCTCATGCAACGGCAGAGGGAACTTGTAGAGGGTATCAGAACATCATTTGACCTTACAGGCATAACGACGGAGATGACATTCTTTAAGTACGGCGACCCTTCAGTTCTTGGCTACATAGGCATCAAGCGTCAAAATTGATCGAAGATACCCAATACAAAGTTTTGTCGCGTGTAAAAGACAGTGAAGAAATGCTTACAAAAGGAAAGAAAAAGGATAAGACTTCACGCGAAAGGCAACGAAATCCTTTACGAAAAGGTAAGGTGAAAAGATATCTCACAATGTACTTACAAAAGGTAAATGAATGGGTAATAGCCACTCTCATGCAATGGCAGAGGGAACTTGTAGAGGGTATCAGAACATCATTTGACCTCACAGGCACAACAGCGGAGATGAATTCTTTAAGTACGGCAACCATTCAGTTCTTGGCCACATAGGCATCAAGCGTCCAAATTGATCGAAGATACCCAACACAAAGTTTTGTTGCATGTAAAAGTCAGCGAAGAAATGCTTACAAAAGGAAAGAAAAAGGATAAGCCTTCACACGAAAGACAGTGAAATCCCTTACGAAAGGTATGGTTTGAAGATATCTCAAAATGTACTTACAAAAGGTAAATGAATGGGTAATAACCACTCTCATGCAAAGGCAGACACTATTAGAAAACTTCATTTTAACTGCGAATTTAGCCTCGGCCACCGACACCAAGGCTAACTAGCCTTGACAAAACCGAGGCTATTCAAACGCAAAAAAAATCATTTTAAAGTTTTTCTTTTACAATTATTTTTATTTAATTCATTAGACACGGCTAGGCCGAGTCTAGATATTTTTTAATTTTTGAATTATTTTTTTTAAATATTAGACAGAGTCAAGCCGAGGCTAACTATTTTAAGTTGCGAACTTAGCCTCGGCCTCTAACACCGAGGCTAACTAGCCTTGACGATACCGAGGCTACTTAAACGCAAAAAACCCCATTTTAAAGTTTTTCTATTTTTTTAAATATTAGACACGAATGAGTCGAGGCTAACGTTTTTAATTTTTTTTCCGAATATATTTGTTTTATCTGATAGACACGGATCAGCCAAGACTAACGTTTTTTATTTTTTTGAATATACTTATTTTATCGGATAGACACGGATGAGCCGAGGCTAACTATTTCCCACCTTGTTTTTCATGTTTCCCTCTTAACTCCTTTCAAAGAACCCTAAAATTAAACCAAATACATTTTCAGAAGAAAAAACCCCTAAAATCAAACAAAATGATTTTGTATGGTCCTTGAGAGATCATCTCTTCGTTTTCATCTTCAAGATCATCGATTCTTCTGAGTGGGTTTATTGGTCTCTGATTCTTCTTCTGCTTTTTTTCAACCTCAAACTATCTTTGATTCTTCTTATGCTTCCAAACAGGTTCTAAATCTACCGAGTTTGAGCGGAAAAGACATCTGAGTTGTAACTCAGTCCTTTTAACATTGAGCCATGCAAGTGGTGTCAAATGCTCGCCGAATCTCTCGGCTCTTGCAATCTCTGATTTTCCTTTCGTCTCATCTTTGAAGCACCGAAGAACCGATTCTCTCAGGGTTCATACAATGTAATTACCAGCAAGTGAAGTCTGAACCATTGAATTTCTTCGCGTCAAAGGCTTTTTACAGTTCTGGAGCTGATAATGTAGAAGGGACTCCAACAGGTTCCTCATTCAATTGTGAACTGGAAAGTCCCTTTTCGAATTTTATTTTTGTGATGTTTACTGATTTGTATTGTTGAATTTTAAATGTAGAAGCATTGAAGGATCTTTATGATAAAATGTTTAAGTCTGTAAATGTTAAAAGATCCATGCCTCCAAATGCTTGGTTGTGGTCAATGGTTGCTAATTGCAAACACCATCACGATATTAGTCTTCTCTTTGACATTTTGCAGAACCTCCACAGATTTGTTAGTTTCTATTCTCTTCCCCTCTCACCTCTTTATTTTCAATTAATGGTTTATTTATTCGCTCTCTTTGCTATGGTAATGAATTTAATCTATTTGGTGAGCAGAGGTTGTCAAACCTTCGCATACATGACAATTTTAACTACAATCTCTGCTGTGAAGTCACTAAAGCTTGTGTTCATGTCGGAGCTCTTGATTTTGGTATGCTTTATTTGCACGTCCACTTTGTCTGATATAAATTTGTGTTGTTTCATTTGTCAAATTTGAAGATGTGAAATGAAATTTTGAGGTTATCTAGCTTAAATGTGCGAGCAGGAAAGAAGGCTTTCAGCAATTGATATCTGGAGTCAGTTACTGTCATTCAATGGTACGGAACAAAACAAAACTGTTATGATATACTCCTTATCATTACAATGACTAGATATTTTTAGTTAAAGGATGTTTTTTATGCAGCAAATCTGCCATAGAGATTTGAAGCTTGAAAATACACTCTTAGATGGAAGCATCGTGCCACGAGTCAAGATTTGGGACTTTGGTTACTCAAAGGTAACATGTTTACAAAACATTACAAGTCTAGAATCTTTTTTTCAAGTGATATTCATTTGTTTTTACCTTGTCCTTTAGTCATTTGTATTGCATTCGCAACCAAAGTCTACGGTAGGAACTCCGACTTACATTGCACCCGAGGTCCTTACAAAGAAAGAATATGATGGAAAGGTGAGTCTTACTTTTTTCTTATGCATTTGGATAATGTTGAGTGTAACCGGACGCAATCAACCACATTGGATGGTTCAGATTCCAATGCAGAGTTTAATTTTCTAACTATATTTTCATTTAAAGTTATAGGTTATAGATGTTTGGTCTTGTGGAGTCACGTTATATGTGATGTTAGTCGGCGCGTATCCTTTTGAGGACCCTGAGGATCCAAAAAACTTTAGGAAAACAATCAGTGTGAGTGCTGTTATTTACAAACTTTGTGAATCCTTAGGCAAAATGAAATTTAGAAAGAAGACTGGGTTGTTTGGTCATACTTTCTCTGTTCTGATGTTTTAATCGGACCTCTCTTGGTTAATTGCAGAAAATACTTAGTGTCCAGTACAAAGTTCCTGATTTCGTACGAGTTTCATTGGAATGTATACACCTTCTTTCTCAAATATTCGTCGCTGATCCTGAAAAGGTATGTAGTTTGTTTAATGTTGAAAATCGAGTTTTCGTTTCTTTGGCAATAAATTCTAAGAGTATTAGACTTAGTTGTGGATGTGCTAGATCACAATGATTGTTTATGTATCACCTTTGGCAATAAATTCCTAATAAATATGCAACCTCAATAGTTTTCAGACCAAATTCGTGTTATGCTTTTCATTCATCTTAGGAATCTTCAAACAATAACCCTTTACCATCTTTTCCTTTTAAATTCCCTTCCTTATGGCCATCCACACAAAAGGTACTGTATTCTCTATTCTCTATTTCCCTTTTAAATTGAATTTCAATGATGCACGTATGGTGTTTGTTGTAATGACTGTGCTAACCAGCATGCTTTTTTTTAGGTGAAGATGGGGCCTCTTATTGTTTCTCCAATGGGTTTTGGAACATGGGCATAGGGAAATCAGATTCTTTGGGGGTATAAGGAATCTATGGATGATGACCTTCAATAAGTCTTCAACATGGCTGTGGAGAATGGTGTTAATCTTTTTGACATTGCTGATTCTTATGGGACTGGAAGGTTTAATGGCCAGCGCGAGAAACTCCTTGGGAAGTTCATTCGAGATTTTCGAGGTTCATTCATCTTCCAAGTATACTATGCCTTTGCTTTTCTGAATAGCCTGCCTGTGTAAATAAATGTGAGTAGGAAATAGATATCATGAAACATGTCTTAGGCCATGTTTGGATGAATAATTATGTGCTTAGAATATAAACGCTTATCATATAATTGCTTATGTATAAGCTTTCTATACTAAAAGTCAAACTGCTTTTATTAAGCTATAAGTCGTTTTACTAAGCTATCTTAGAGAACTTCTGAAAATTACATATGGGTGTCGTAAGTTGTTTCCATAAGCTCTCCCAAACACTTTTACAAGTGTTTATAACATTAGATAAGCTCAAATAAATTAATCTAAAGAACCTTAATGGAAAACCATAATACACACTGTATTGAATTCTTTGACTTCCTTTTCTTGTTTATCAAATTGTGTGTTCACTTCTTTAGAGAAAAAAGGGAGCAGAAGTGAAATTGTGATTGCTACAAAATTTGCTGCTTATCCATGGCGCCTTACACCAGGGCAGTTTGTGAATGCTTGCAGGTAGTCTTCATATTCAACCTTCCACTGGAAATATTTGTTTTACATATTCTCCTAATGCTATTGAACTTGAATAAAATAAATTATCAGGGCATCACTAGATAGGCTGCAGATTGAGCAAATTGGGATAGGACAACTACATTGGTCAACTGCAAATTATGCTCCTTTCCAGGAATTAGCACTTTGGGATGGTTTTTTGGCAATGTATGACAAGGTTACAATAATTCATGGTTAATAGTAGAATCACAATAAAGACCTTAAGTGAACCCTTTAAAATTTTGACTTGGAAGTTACTTATAAATGTTTTTTTTTCCTGTATAAAGTACCATAATTGAAGTTTGTAATGCAATGTGTAGATAAAGACATTCTGGGTGCTATAGATAATTTATTTACTTGCAATTTTCATATTTTCACATATCTGAGGAGCATAAACAAATTGTTCAACGGTTCTTACTAGAAGAAATGCATTAGTTTTGATTTCTCCGATACAACAACATTTAATCTTCATATTTATTGCTATTTAGGATTTAGTTCAAGCTGCTGGAGTTAGTAGTTATGGACCGAAGTAGCTTTTAAAGATACATGATTACTTGAAATAACGTGGAGTTCCCTTATGCTCAGCCCAGGTATAATGTTACGTATAGTAGTAATGTAATAACATTTAACAATCAAATTGTTTTTGGAGAAATTCATTTTAATTTCAGTAGTGACAAATAAGCATGGTCTAATTGGTAAACAAGACACAAAATATAGTATCATACCTTATTGAGTTTCTGAATGAGGTATGAGTTAAATGAACATAAGTTACCAGGATAACTCCAAACAGTAGTGATTCTGAATCCTGCAAATTATGCTATCAGTATGCTATAACCATTTAGTAATTGTAATACTCTTCTGGTTATTCTTTCATTAGTATTGTTTATAGTAATTTAGTAATTATAATACTCTGCGTGCGTGTGAGAAAAGTAGAGAATATTGGTAGAGAGAGCTTGGAGAGAATAGAGAGGGATTCTCAGAGTGATTGAGAGAGAATGATAAAAGAGATTGATTTGTAGAATTTTTGTGATTGTTGATGTAACGAAGAGGGTGAACTGTTATATAGAGGATTGAGGCTAACTGATTAAGGTAGGATTTTGGTCAGGTTTGTTACAAGTTAGGGCAAGGTTAGATGGTTAGTTTATTGCAAAGGAAATTAGTTAGAACTTTTAACACTGTCAGCATTCTGTTAGTTACAGTTAGGAGTTAGAATACTAGTGATTTAGAAGATTAATGAAATGTTAGTTTATGGCATTTACAAACAGAAAAATCAATTAGTTGTTCTTCTACTATTATGTTAGTAAGTGAAGAAGTCGAAACTATGTTGAAATTTGATTGTTAGCATTTGGGACTTGTTATCACTGGATTGTTAAAGCGAACATGGCGTTAATGGATTGTTATAGATTGAACTAAAATTGAGCTACTAAATATGTGTGTTAATGGCATTGTTAGTGATAAAATGAATTGTTGTTATGCTATGGGCCTATGGCATCCAAGTTATGTTGGAATGGAAGAGGCTAAGTACAGTAAGTTAGTTGTTAGAGAGGTGTTGATTAATAATGTGTTGAGGTTAGTTGCTAAAAACGCAGGCTGTTAGCATTTGAACTTTAATATTTTAGAACGGAAAATATTAGTCGACATTGGATTAATGGTGGGGTTCGAACGAATGAATTCCTACTGTGATGCTGAGATCTTGCTGTAAGATTTGTTAGAAATTGTTAGTGAATCCGTTGCCATATTGGAATTAGTTATGATTTGAGTTAGTGAATTAAACTAATAGAAGCTAGTTATAATTGGGATAATGTGAATTTGCATCAGAGTTAGTAACTTGTGATAGCTTTGAATTAGTTTAGGTTGATGTTAGTATATTTAGTGAATTGAATGGTTATATTAGGATGAACCTGACAGCTAAGTATGGTTTGTTGAGTTGTGATAAAAGTATAATTGATGAATCAGTTAAAAGTTGATTGCAATATAAGACTGTATTGCCATGATGTTTTCTATTATGGTGTGTGCATTTTGGCATTGCAAACATATAGTTGCTAGATGGTTTTGGACTGTCAGAATTTGAATTGGATTTAATTTGATGTTTAGAAAAATAGACACTGTTATGGAATTTAGTTAGTAAATTTGGATATTTGATGTTAAGATTGGTTCATGTTAATTAATTATTATGTAAGGAAATTGTTAGATTGAAATGGATGATATGTTAAAGTGTTATGAAAGTTAGTTTTGAATTTGAAGTCATGAACTAAGCTGCTATTGTATTGCTAATACAGTGAGATTATCATGTGAATGAATTGCTATGATGACTGAATTGCTTGAACAAGTATGGCCTTATGGGACTTTATTTGCAGGTTGTTGGTAACTTATTAGAATTGGTCATGGAAGTTAGTTAGGATGTTATTGTTAATGGTTGTGTTGAAGTTTGATGCATAAGCTGTTATATTGAAACCTACTTAAACCACTTATGGAATGTGTCTAGTTTATTGATGCTTTGGTATATGTTGGATGCAGGTAGCTATTATGCCCTTATGAAGGTTTCGCATGGCACTTTGGTTCTGGAGATGTAGGGCATATAGAGATGGAAATTTGGACAACCTCACAATGTGCAAGTTTTGGAGGTAGTCTTCATATTCACAAACTTTATTGGTTAGGGCAGATTTAAATATTTTGTTGACTTATAAAGTTTGAACTTAGCCTCAAATAAACCGAGGAAAAATGTTCCTTTAGCCTCGACCAGGACCAAGGCTAAATATAATGTTGGCTTATGGAGGCTAATGTAGACACGGGTAAACCGAGGCTATTTTTTGTTTTTTGACACGGCTTCACCGAGGCTAAAGTAGACACGGCTAAGCCGAGGCTAAATTAGACACAGCTAGACCGAGGCTACTGTAGACACGACTCTTCTTGGCCGAGGCTAAATGTTAGCTTTGATCGTTTTAGCCTATCCCCGACACCGACGCTACGCCGAGGCTAATTCACTAGTAACGACGGTTTTTTGCCTTATAGTGTCAGAAAATGGTCGAGGTTAAATACAACATTTCTAATAGTGAGAGGGAACTTCTAAAGGGTATAAGAATATCATTTTACCTCACAGGCACAACGGCGAAGATGACATTCTTTAAGTACAACAACCATTCAGTTCTTGGCCACATAGGCATCAATCGTCCAAATTGATCGAAGATACCCAACGCAAAGTTTTGTCGCGTGTAAAAGACAGTGAATAAATGCTTACAAAAGGAAAGCAAAAGGATAAGCCTTCACACGAAAGGCAGTGAAATCCCTTACGAAAGGTAAGGTGAGAAGATATATCAAAATGTACTTACAAAAGGTAAGTGAATGGGTAATAGCCACTCTCATGCAAATGCAGAGGGAACTTGTAAAGGGTATCAGAACATCATTTGACCTCACAGGCACAACGGCGGAGATGACATTCTTTAAGTACAACGACCATTCAGTTCTTGGCGACATAGGCATCAAGCGTCAAAATTGATCGAAGATACCCAACACAAAGTTTTGTCGCGTGTAAAAGACAGCGAAGAAATGCTTACAAAAGGAAAGAAAAAGGATAAAACTTCACGCGAAAGGAAACGAAATCCCTTACGAAAAGGTAAGGTGAGAAGATATCTCAAAATGTACTTACAAAAGGTAAATGAATGGGTAATAGACACTATCATGCAAAGGCAGAGGGAACTTGTAGAGGGTATTAGAACATCATATGACCTCATAGGCACAACGGCGGAGATGACATTCTTTAAGTACAACGACCATTCAGTTCTTGGCCACATAGGCATCAAGCGTCCAAATTGATCGAAGATACCCAACACAAAGTTTTGTCGCGTGTAAAAGACAGCGAAGAAATGCTTACAAAAGGAAAGCAAAAGGATAAAACTTCACGCGAAAGGCAATGAAATTGCTTACGAAAAGGTAAGGTGAGAATATATCTCAAAATGTACTTACAAAAGTTAAGTGAATGGGTAATAGCGACTCTCATGCAAAGGCAGGGGGAACTTGTAGAGGATATCAAAACATCATTTGACCTCAAAGGCACAATGTCGGAGATGACATTCTTTAAGTACAATGAGCATTCAGTTCTTGGCCACATAGGCATCAAGCGTCGAAATTGATCGAATATACCCAACACAAAGTTTTGTCGCGTGTAAAAGACAGCGAAGAAATGCTTACAAAAGGAAAGCAAAAGGATAAGACTTCACGCGAAAGGTAATGAAATTCTTTACGAAAAGGTAAGGTGAGAAGATATCTCAAAATGTACTTACAAAAGGTACGTGAAAGGGTAATAGCCACTCTCATGCAAGGGCAGAAGGAACTTGTAGAGGGTATCAAAACATCATATGACCTAACAGGCACAACGACGGAGATGTCATTCTTTAAGTACAACGACCATTCAGTTCTTGGCCACATAGGAATCAAGCGTCCAAATTGAACGAAGATACCCAACACAAAGTTTTGTCGCGTGTAAAAGACAGCGAAGAAATGCTTATAAAAGGAAATAAAAAGGATAAGACTTCACGTGAAAGGCAAGAAATCACTTACGAAACGGTAAGGTGAGAAGATATCTCAAAATGTACTTACAAAAGGTAAGTGAATGGGTAATAGCCTCTCTCATGCAAAGGCAGAGGGAACTTGTAGAGGGTATCAGAACATCATTTGACCTCACAGGCACAACGGCGGAGATGAAATTCTTTAAGTACAACGACCATTCAGTTCTTGGCGACATAGGCATCAAGCTTTGAAATTGATCGAAGATACCCAACACAAAGTTTTGTCGCGTGTAAAAGACAGAGAAGAAATGCTTACAAAAGGAAAGAAAAAGGATAAAACTTCACGCGAAAGGAAACGAAATCCCTTACGAAAAGGTAAGGTGAGAAGATATCTCAAAATGTACCTACAAAAGGTAAGTGAATGGGTAATAGACACTCTCATGCAAAGGCAGAGGGAACTTGTAGAGGGTATTAGAAAATCATTTGACCTCACAGGCACAACGGCGGAGATGACATTCTTTAAGTACGGCGACCATTCAGTTCTTGACCACATAGGCATCAAGGGTCCAAATTGATCGAAGATACCCACCGTAAATTTTTGTCGCGTGTAAAAGACAGGGAAGAAATGCTTACAAAAGGAAAGCAAAAGGATAAGCCTTCACACGAAAAGCTTTGAAATCCGTTACGAAAGGTAAGGTGAGAAGATATCTCAAAATGTACTAACAAAAGGTAAGTGAATGCGTAATAGCCACTCTCATGCAAATGCAGAGGGAACTTGTAAAGGGTATAAGAACATCATATGACCTCACAGGCACAACGGCGGAGATGACATTCTTTAAGTACAACGACCATTCAGTTCTTGGCCACATAGGCATCAAGCGTCCAAACTGATCGAAGATACCCAACACAAATTTTTGTCGCGTGTAAAAGACAGCGAAGAAATGCTTACAAAAGGAAAGCAAAAGGATAAAATTTCACGCGAAAGGCAATGAAATCCCTTACGAAAAGGTAAGGTGAGAAGATATCTC